GCTGTGACCATCCTGCTCGAACTAGTCTTTGACAAACTAATAAAATAAAGGGATTTGTACATTGCTCTGGCCTCGTCTCCGCTGTTGCTTCCCTGGGGGCCCCTGCCAGCTCCCTTGCCCCCCCATCTCCCTCAAGGCTGAGACCTGGCAGCTTCATCACACTGGAGGAGGCTGCAGGGCCCCCCTGGGCAGCACCCCGGCCAAGCCACGGGGGGAAGGGTCCCAGGCAGCTCCCAGAGCCCTGCTCAGCCCAGCTGCCTGCCCCCACCCCGTGTCTACCCTCTGGGGTTGGGGACAAGGTGAAAGGGGTGGGTGCTGGTGGGCCCCTGTCCCAGACATGGCCAGGGGGCTTCTGCCCCTTCCCCTGACTCTGGGACTCACCTCACAGAATGACATGGGACAGCCCTGGGGTGCAAGGGCTGTTTCTGGCGGGTCACAGGCTTCTGCCCCAAAGAGCAGAGGCATGAGCCTATAGGCAGGCCCCTTGTGCCCCAGGCGAGGCAGGACCACTGGCAGTGCCCACCCAGGTTTGGCACAGCCCTGGAGGGCTCCATCCAGAGCCAGCCTCGGCTTTGACCGATTTGCCATCATTTACCAGCAAAGAGCTCAGCTGTTACCCAGGCAGCATCAGCAGAGCAGTCACCTGGAAAAGCCTCTGTCAGAAGAAAATATTAGGGGAGGAAATGATAGAGATCTTGCAGGCAAGGTCTCCATCACGGGCAGGCTGCACCTGCACCTCCTCTGCGGTAACTGTCTTCTTCTGCTTCCCAGCATGTCAGCACAGGGGGGAAGAAAGCCCCATGGCTCTCCCTGGGGAGCAGGGACAGGGGAGGCACTACTTGTCACCCCTGGCAGGGGTACAGGGATGGGGTCTGCCTGGGGCCAGTGGCCATCGTGTGGGACAGGAAGCATGGTCTCGCTCCATCCATGTCGGGTGCTGCCCAGCGGGAGCAGGGTTACAGGGCTTGGACAGGTCCCTGCGCCGTCCCCATCCCCTCTGCAGTGTCCCTGGTGTCACTTGCCCTCAGCATGGGTGCGCAGCGCCCCCTGGTGGGGTGACAGCGCAGGACAGGGGACAGGGAAAGTGGGGACAGACACTGGGGACAAGGGGGACAGCCCCTCACAGCCAGGGAGGGGAAGGAGACACGGGAAGCACACGGGAGAACAGCTCAGCACCCCCCTCACCTCCTCCTGTCCCCGCAGCAGTCACAGGCACCTTAGTTACAGTAGAGAATTTATCAAAATTAGAAAAAACAACCACACATACAAAAAAAAAAATGCCCCAGCATTTTTTAACCCCCAGTTGGAGGAAACACCCCCCAGTTCATATCCCCACACCCTCCCCTCGCTGGCCCAGTGCAGGGAAGGGACATGGCATGTCTGGGAGGGGAAAGGACAGGCTGTGCTCCCAGGGCTGCCCTCGCCACCAGGCCGTGGGGGACAAGGGGACGGTCATGTAGCTAGTCACTGCTGGGGAGTCTGGCCACATCAGAGACCCTCTCATGGGAGGCTCCTCAGCAACCAAATTTCTTTGGCCACTTGCCTTTGGAACAAGGCCGCCATGCCCACAGAGAGGAGGTGGCAGCCCTCAGATGGCAAGGGAGGCTCTGGTAGCATCCCCCCGTCCTCTCCAGCACAAGATGCTTTTTAACAAACACTCCTGAGAGCAGTACGCACAGAGCTGAGCCACAGGTTGCAGCACTGCCAAGCAGGCAAGGACGTGAACCATCTCCTTACCTCAACCTACACTAACTAAGCACTCTCCCAGCCCCAAGAGCAGGGAAGCATTGCCTCCTCCAGTGCGGTTTCGTTAGGAGTCATTAGGGAGCCCAAAGAGCTTGACGGTGCCTGCCTCCCGGCTGCTGTCGTATTTGCCATCTTTGTCATCACAGGCGAAGGCCAGCAGTGGCCTCTTCGGGTGCCAGGCCACTGTGAAGGTGGGGGACTCACACTGCACCTCCCAGAGCTTCTCTCCTGCATGGAAAAAGGGCCACATCAGCCAGGAGAGCCTCCAGCCCTCGGCTGCACGCTGCCCCACAGCGCACACCAGAGCCAAGGACCTGCTTCTTCTCTCCTGCACAGGGCAGAGGAGGAACTGACACTGCTTCAGCGCCTTTTAATCACCTGGTGACAAGATACAGACATGACATGCATGTCTACCACAGACTAACGAGGCAGAGGCTCCCCCTCATGGCACTCTGCTCTGCACAGCCAAGCTCTTCCTTAGCAGACCGCTTCTCCCAGTGCCCTCCCAGCTCCACCAGCACTTCTCTCAGATTCCCTCCTTGCTGTTCCCCAAAACGAAACCGTTACCTGTCTCCACCTCTGCAATGTCGATGAAGTGATCTTCTGATGCCGACGCCAGCATCTTCCCATCATGGCTAAAGCTCAGTGTTCGCACAGGCCAGTCAAGCCTGCAGCAACAGAGTAAAGCAGTGAGCCATCTCCCACAGCGTCACCGGAGAGCGGTGGCAGACAACTTCGGGACAGCTTTACCTACCTTGAGAAGCACCTCACACACACCAGTTCATCCACATCCCAGAGGCTGACTAACGCATCAGCACTGCCTGTGGCAAAGTACTTCCCCATGGGATCGAACTTGATGCAGATACAGTTTGAAGGATGAGCGTTGATGGACTGAATGGGCTTCAGCTCTGGGTAGCTGCGGAGATGAAGGGATGGGGCAGGAAGCAGTGAGAGGAGCTCACTGCTGGTCTATAAGCAGGGCAGGCTTGGGACTGTGAGCAAACCAAACTGGTGCAGGGCCACACTCTTGGAAACACCAAGTGCCAAGTGAATAAGGCAAAGCACCAGGGTCACTCTCGGGGACCCCAGCCCAGAACTGGGGAAACCTCAGCTCCAGGTAAGTTTCTTCCCACCAGAGGCTGGGAATTGCTGGGATGTGGGACTCAGGCTCCCCAAAAGCAGCAAAGGGGCTTGCAGACTGATGTCTGCTGCAGCCAGCCCAGCTACCTGGTGCACCCACCACCATGGGCACCTACCTGAGGATGTTGATGCAGCCGTTCCCGTTAGTGAGGAAGAACATGTTGTTATCATTGTTCCAGGAGATCTCGTTCACCTCAAACTTGAACTGCTCCTCAGCTTTGGAGCGATGCGTCTTGGCATCAATGAAAGTGACCACGTCATCCTTATTCCCCACCGCAATGGTCTGTCCGTCAGGGCTCCAACAGATGTTTATGTTCTCCCCTGAAGGGACAGAAAGGCAGCAGGTCTAATTTCTACCCAGCAATCCACAGTAGCCAGGAGTTAAGCAGACGGGCAGCTTTTATTCCTGATCCAAGGCCACAACCTGCTCCACTAACTCCAAACCACCCCCAAATGGAAAAGACTCCCAGGTCTGCAGCCTAACACACAAACCTGTCCAGCCAATACGTACAATTACTGAAAATTAAACTTCAAGCCAACATGACTACATCCCTGCCCTTCCCATTTCAGCCAAGATGGGACCACAGCAGCCACCAAACAAGGTCAACTCAAAGATCCTCTGAATCCAGTGATCCTCTGAGACCCAGAAAAATCAGAAGCCAACAATAAACACCCATGAATGAGGGTAAGAACAAGGCAGGTTGCAGTTATGCCATCTTACAATGCCATTTCCAGCCTCAACTCAGAATTGGAGATTTCCAAGTGCAGAGATGGCATCTGGGTTAATCAGTAGATGAATTCAAATAGTTTTCTGAATCCACATAAACTTTTACTTTCACCATGGCTCCCTGCAAACATGCCTTTCCCCAGTCTGCAGCCTTGCAGCCCACAGACTCCAGAGACAACTACACAGGACACTGTAACAGCCAGCATCACACTTCAGTAGCTTCTGCAGCACTGACACCAGAATCAGCCCCACATTCACTGCTGCTCCTTACAGATGAGTGCAACACAAAGATAAAAGCAGTCCGCAACGACGCCCCAGTCACCAATACCCACAAGAAGGGTCCAAAGCACTGTGCCACTGCACACAGGTCCCAGGCGGCCGAGGTCCCACTGGGACCCAAGAGCCCTCCCGGGAAGGCAGGGACTCACCTTTGGTATTGACGGTGGCGATGCACTTGGTGGTGCGGACATCCCAGATGCGGATGGTTTTGTCCCCAGATGCTGTGACAAAGAGGTCGGGGTTGCTGGGGTGCCAGCAGAGCTGATCCACGCTGTCACCATGGCCCCGGTAGTTGTTCTCCTTCACCTGGAGGGAGAGAGCAGCCACCCAGGAGGAGGATAAGCCCGGCTCTGCGCTCCCCTCCCACCCCGGATCCCAGCACGCTCCGCTGCTGGTTACCGGATGGGGGGGAACCCAGCCCAGC